GATCCTGGTAATTTATTATAATACATATTTTGATATACTTCTTGATTCTCATTACTATAAAATTGAGTATAATAGTAATCCTTGAATTCACAAGTATACTCTTTAATTTTACACATATCACAAATTGTTAGATTAATTAACTTCACTGTTGCATTATCTTTTTCTCGTATTGCTTCTTCTTCATAATTTCTTAACCAATTTTCTCCTAAGAATTCATCTACAATATATTCTACTAATCTTTTTATTCCTAGTTTATCTGACTTTATTATTTCTGTTTGTACATTTCTTTTTATTAATGATTTTGTATCACTACTAATTTCTTCCCACCAATTTCTAACATTTCCTTCAAAAGATGCAATTAAAAAATCTATTCTCCTTTCACTATTTTCCCATGTATCATCTTTATTATATAAAAAGAATAATATCATTGAGTCTGCCGAAGTTATTAAGGCTTTCTTAGTATCTATTTTGCAATCTAAGTCTAATTTTGTTCTTCCATGGTTAACAGGCTTATCATAATTATTATTTAATTCAAATCTACTACTATATTTATTTCCTTTGGACGGTTGTTTATCTCTTATTTTATCATAAACTTGCCTATATGGTTTATTATACATTGGAGCATAGCTTTCATCTGGATCTATTGATTCTTGTTTAGAGGTTTCTACGGGATTAGGTCCTCCTCCAATATTCATTAAGATTTGGTATTCATCATCTATACTTTCTAAACTTAAATGATCAAAATTATCTATAAGTAGATCTAATTCTTCATTCCTCTTCTTTGTCTTGATTTTCTTCAATTTTTTGTTTACCTAATATTTTTTCTCTAGATTCTTCTTCTTCTTCTATTATCTTAGGTAATATATTTTTTCTAAACTCATCATCCATACTTCCTGTTTCTATTATTATATTTTTCCTTTCAATATGTTTTTTCCCTATTCTGGTTATTTCTTTTTCTATAAATTTTTTATCTACTCTATTATTCTTTTCTTCATTTTCTTTTAATTTTCTGACTTCAAGTTTTAATATATTTATATCATTTCTAGCTTCTTTTATTTCATTCTTAATTTCTTATGCATCATTAATTAATATTCTTATTAAATGTTTTAATTCTTCCATATGTTCACTAATTGACATTTTATCTATTTTTTGATTGACAATAATAAAATACTATACACTCAGCATTTTTACACTCCTTTATCATTTTATCATATTTTTGTTTTATAACTTCATGATTTGTTATCTCTTTTAATTTTCCATAATACCTTGCTTTTTCTTTATACCTTTCTTGTTTTAATTTTAATATTTGCTTTTCTTGAGTTTTAGTTATTTCTCCAGGAATTAATAATTCATCTAAAATTTTATTATTTATTAATCTTATTCTTTCTAACTTCCTTTCTAAAATGTTTTTAGTTTTTTCCATTATATTTTTATGATGATTCATATATTTCTCTCTGGTATAATTCATTTTCAAATACTTCGATAATTATTTCATATGTACGTCTATCTTTGATAAATTCTACAATTAATTTATGTAATATTTGTTCCTTTATTTCTCTAGGTAAATTCCTAGTTATATATAATGTTATTATTTTTAATTTATTAGGGATGGAGTTGTAAAATATATAACATCATTTTTCTTCAATACATTGATAATAAATATTTATTTTTAAGATTTCCATGATCTCTATGGCTCTGATACCAAAGGACGGGTGCTACTATGAGCGAACAAAAATCTAATAATCTAAAAATCTAATAATCATGAATCTAAATAAATCTAAAATTTTAATATTCCAAAAACTCTTTTATTTTTACTATTAGGTGTATATAAAATCTTATGATAAGGACTAATTTTTTGTATACTTGTGGTAATCTATTTTTTATTAGTCTTCTCATAAATTTTTAAGTAATTCTTCAAAGTCTAGTAATGTCTGAGAATTTATAATATCAATATCTGTTATCATATCTATATCTGTTCTAAAAGGTATATCATATTTTGAGATATTTTTCTTTCTTTTTTCCAATTTATCTATTATATCTTGTATATCTTTTATGATTATTGACCTTACAATTCCTTTAGCGAAATTTTCTAATAAGTTTTCTTTGAAACATTTTAATATTTCTTGTGATGCATATAATTGTTCTTGATATCCTATCCTATCAATTTCTTTTTCAAACTTACTTTCTTTTTTATTTTTAACAACCTTTTTTATATTATATGGTCCTCTCTTATATTTGGGTTTTTCTATTTTATAATTATTCATTAATAATTCTCACAAATTTTTAGAAAAATTATTTGTTAATTATTTAAGGACTTAAATAGAAGATTTATATAAAGGGTTGTTTTTTAATATTTGTTAAAGGGTGTTTTTGGTAGTTCAAAATGTTTATAAAAGTCAAAGGTCATTTTGGAAAATCCCTCTTTTATTTGGGTCAATTTCATGTATTTCCCGTGGGTTGAGGTGGTGTGGGCTTGGTAGGAAAGAAGAAGAAGATAAAATTTTCAAATTCATTTCTTTTTATTTTGTTTTTGGTTTTTTAATTTAATTATTTTAATTCTTTAATATAAAAATCTAATTTTACATTTTTACCCTTTAATATCTAGTCAAATTTTGGTCAAAATATTGACTGCAGGTCAACTAACGGATTTATTAATGGTTTCCATCCATTTGGACTCCGAGTGCGAATTTTTGAAAAATTTGGTATCATGGATGGGACAAATGAAATATTTGGGTCAAATTTGCTAATAAACAAAAGATTTGATACCTCGACTGCAGTTTTTCCTAAAAGTAAAGATTCTATTTAAGTTATTTTTTACTTTTAATTGATCATGAAGGTTTTTTAATTTTTTTTTTTTTTTCTAAACTGATCATTGAGTTACCCGTCTTACGTTACCGTTACAAATAAGTATTTTATTTACTCTAACTTTATTAATAAAATCAAGTTTTTTTCTTTTTCTTTTGATACATACTTATTTCTACACGTAGTTAAACCTGCTTTGCCTAGCAAACATGTTAGAACAGATTGAAGAATTTCTCATCAATAATAATTCTCTATAAATTATTATTCTTAATATGCCTAGACCTCGTGCGTAGTTTTAGTATACCTATCCAACAAAGGAAGCATTCTTATCCGAATTCAATTATTTTAAAATATTTATTTTGTTAAAATATAATTTGAAAGTGATTTATTACACAATAAAGCTTATTTGTTAACTCCATAAAAAGCACTTCTCAAGCTTATTTGTTAACTCCATAAAAAGCACTTCTCCTATATTTAGCTCATGTAAAATACGAATCATTTTTATTTATACATTTCATTGGATCCATATTTCACTACTCATTTTTCTATTTATTGACGAAAAAAACCATTTATAGTCGCTATCTTAACATCCATTCCTAAGAAAATGAAAGGGGGATGGGATTAGAATTTAGAAGAGTGTACTTATTGATCGGTTCGGCCAAGTGTCTCGAGTGCTCAGGGAGAGGCGGAAATCTCTCAATGGAAGAGGCTCCTTGTTATGATTGAAAATTTACTCGATCTCTAGCTCGGCGATCAACAATCACTAGCTTCGATGAACTATCAAGGCATCTCACTCCTCGAACTGAGCCTTGGACTTAGAATTAACTCCTTCCAATATTTGGTAGAGCCAGGAAGCCCACGAAAAAGTACTATGGGAGCCATAGGGAGCAATGTAGTACCACCCATTTGCCACCTCCTTATCCATGGAATTGATTATCCTTGCCAACACTGACCCGGTGCCATAGAATCTAAGCCCATCATTCGACTCCACCCATTGGGTGTTAACTTCGTTGAGGCCAAATCGTATGACCTCAGGACGAGGCAAAAAATGGGTGCAAAGGCAGTCATATTCCGGTTTGAATGCTGGCATCGCTTATTGCCTTGCATCCTGGCATCGAATAGTATTCGCCTCAGGCACTATCATCTCCATAAAATCCAAAATTCTGGAAAATTCCCTTAACTACTAAAGCTTCTCCTCCATCGTAACAGAAGTGACATCTAAAGCCCCATCTAACTAACAATTATTCATAGTGTACAGGGAGATGTTCACAGAACCTCTCAAGAACACACACAAGGAAGGGTGTATTAGGTGGATATTTTTTGCAATTTTTTACTCACTTGGGACCATCCCATGTGAGTGTTATGGAATTCTTCTGTGGACATACAAACTAATTCTCCAACTAGAGATTTATCGTCTCTATAAAAGAGCCTCATCCTTGAAATGAGACTTCACTTTTATAGAAGAGCATCATCCCTTAAAAATAGGACTTCACTTTCAAATTTACCACCTTGGTACACCAGCCTTGTCTAGTGTCACCTCAGAGGTAAATGTTTAATATTTGCAACTAGTTGTTCATCACCTGTCATATATGATGATCATGCTATTGTTTATCTCCTCGTCACTCTACTTCATATTTCAGAATCTCATCCATGGATTTTAAAGACAGTTCATAAATCCTGTCTAGTTGACAAATATTTTGAAGCCCATGTTAATACTATAGACGCCATAAGCATATGAAGGCTATGGATTGAGATAATCATATTGACAAGTAAGTTGTCGGGATGAAGTCGCATGTCATGCATGCAGAGAGCTTCTTCCACATATAAATACTTGATTCTCTCTCCCCTTCAAGGGTAATCTTAATGTCAATCTTGTTAACTCTCTTCTACCAAGATAATTTTGGCAATTGTCTATTCCACATCCAAATTCTTATGACTTGAGTATCGAGTGCACCAGAAAGCTGCACCCAATTAGAGCTACAATTTTACTTCCTGCTAACTTCATTCATTCATGGTTAAATTGATGCCAAGAACAAGAAATTTAAAAAATAAAATAAAAAGAATATCAAAGCCAAGATCACTGACTAACTGCAGTTTATACATGTAACAATGAAATTTTATTCACATTTCACAGCCAAAACGATTATTGCAAATTTGCAACCATGATTTCATATGTCACCCCCAAAATGAAACATAACTAATTCATAAACATATATCATTCTAATGTAAAACTAACTTACAAGTCATAAAAAAATATGGCTACAAAACAAGCACGACGATGAAGAAAATTTCCTAACCAGCATAACGAGTTAATTCAAATGCTTACAATCACATTAGGTAAAATTCATCTTCAAAACCAACTTGTAGAGAAAAATTGCCAAAAGTGGGTTACAACTTGACAAATCAAACTTTAACTAAACGAAATAGGACTCAGTTATAAACTAAAACCCACTCATCTTTTCAGAACAGGCATTCACGACAACCCATATTTTCACAGAACTGTTACTACTAGAAGTAGTCCTCCCTGAGTCGCTCCCTGCCTGCAACGAGCATGTCCATAAGGGTGCTTGACTTTGATACCATTAGTTGCAACCTCTAACCACATCGAGTACATAAGTCTCAAGGAAACAAGACTGAGGTCATTAGACATTACCAATGAGGTTGAAGTAGGATAAAATACACTCAAGCAATCATTATTCAAAGAACTAAGAAGTGTCCAAACTAACAAAGTAGTTAGAATTAAAGAACAAGATAGCCTAGTTCATCTTACCTGCAGGACTAGGATCGATCGAACACAATTTTCGACGGTTAGGATCAACTCAATGCTACTTGGCGAATTTTACAGTCTTCCTATTCTCCAATAAATCACCTCTCGTTTCCATCTTCACAGGCAACGGAGCTGAGAATACAAAACCTCCAATTTCGATGTGTTTACTTTCACTTTCCGGATAATTTCTCAATTCGTTTTTGCCATCACTTCCATTTCCCAACAGATCTTTCTCCTCTTCATCATCCTCAGCCTCTTTCGAAGACACTCCAATTTCTTCAACTTCTCGGCACAGATCATCCAGGAGCTCTCTCTCATCATCAATTGAATCATCATCGTTGATGCTAACATCACAGTCCCCATTCAAACATGGCTTCCCGCTTGATCTGTAAACCCTATAAACATTCCCATTCTCGGCAAAGGTTACACTTTTTCTTCCCTTGGATTGAACCCGATCGCCCCTTTTCATCAAACCACCATTTCTATTCTGAGAAACACATCGATTTCTTATCATAGAAATGTCACCGCTACCAGAGTTTTCAGTTAACTCAACTCCCTCCTCATCGTACTCAGATAATTTTTCAATCCTTTCTACTAGACCTTTCAATTTCTCCACATTGACATTGCCCATAATTCTCTTACATTGGAAAACCCTAGACTCCCCGTTCCTCACATTCTTAACTAATCTACTTGAAAGCTCCCTTCTTTTCAAACCCTCAATGAACTCCAAGAAATTAACCAACTCCCTGCTTAGTGATCTTTTGCCATCTCTAATCATGGGATCACCACCCTTCAAAAACAGAAAATGATCAAAAAGCCCACATCAGAACCGCAACGTGTAGTTACAAAACAAAAGGCAAAATTATGCATATATGTTGAACACAAGATTAAAATATACAGACCGAAAGGTAAATAAGATGGTTAGTGTGGAAAAGACGAACCATAGTGTCTTAATTCTAACAGTAATGTCGAAGATTTTATTGTTTACCTTAATGGAGTCGAGTTTGAGAAGCAGGGCCATGAGTTTATGAGATAAAGCTTCGCAATCATAATGGGTATTTCCGGAAACTGAGGATTTCAGAATGCTGAGCGTGGATTTGATGGAAGCAAGATCTTTAAGCTGCCAAAGGGTTCTTGACCTGCGTGCAAGGAAGACTCTGAAGTGGGACTGGATAATAGAGGCAGCAGCCTCACGGAGGGACTGAGAAGACGAGGGAGGTCGGCGGCGGAGGGCGGACTCGAGGGCGGAGATGCGGCCGAGTAGGGAGGATACAGACACAGTGGGATCTATTTGTGTGTGTCGGGGTTCCTGGAAATAGCGAAGGGGGTAGTGTTGAGGTGGATTTGGGAGGTGGGGTGACGTGGTGTAAGGTGGATCTATGTGGGTTGGTGTGTGGAGGATGTGAGAAGGGGTTGTGTGGAGATGGAGCTCCATCGCTGGCGGTGGCAGAGGGTGACCGTGACAAGTGGAGTAGGTAGTGTAGCAACAATGGCATGAACAGGTGGCGACGGCAGCGGTGGGTTTGCAGAAGGGTTGGCGAGAGGCCATTCTCCGGTGGATAGTAAATGGATTCGACACTGAGGGTATCGGACTCGAGTAGTTCTACTTTCCGCGAGGGGTTTAGAGGGTTAATTATATGAATGGTCACTGAACTTTGCCCAATGTTACTGCTTAGTCACTGAACTTAAAAATATAACTCAATGATCACTAAACTTCGCCAAGTGTTATTATTTCATAATCGAACTTTAAAATGTATCTCAATAGTCATCGAACTTTGCATCGTGTTACCCATCCGTCACTCAAATGGAAAAATCCATTAAATCCAACAAACGGCGTCAACTTGAGTGACCTCATCCAACCGCATGCCCTGGGCGCTCCTCCGTGTCGCGCCCAAACCTCGTCCTACAGCATGCAGAGGCAGGGACGAGACAATTTTTTGCCCAGTTTTAATTTTTTTAATTATTTAATTTTTTTACATTTTCAAAATTTCAAAAATTATGTCATTATTAGAAAATAAAATACTAATTTAAAATGAATTTTTAATGGGGCGAATTGTTTAAAAATGAAATTATTTTTAATCTTTTTTATCCCCTTCACGGGCCGAGTTAGGGGCGAGGCATCCTTGCCCCATGCCTCAAGACGAGGCGCCCTGCCAAACCGTTTGGGACGAGTTTTTTTCCTCATTCTAAGCAGAGCCTCGTCAGGGCAAGGCGAAGCGGATTTTTTGCCATCACTACGCCCATAATTGATGGCCATTATAACAATAATATTTTAAATAATTATTTTCTAAAGAATGTAGGGTAAAAAATATTTACGTACAAAACTTATCGTCTAAATGTAATTAAAAATGAGTGTAAAAAAATATTAAAGTTTTTATTCTAAAGAGAGACAATAGATAAATTTGGTATTTTTATACCAAGCTCTAGTTTGCTACCAATTAAAATCTATATTTTAATTTAAATAAAAATGAACAATTAATTTATCATATATTTTATAGGTACTATAATTTTTCAATCACACATCTCATCAACTTCTATCAAAATCTACCCAAAATTTGAATTTAGCCCTCGTTTGGCCCCCATTATAAATTTTAAAGTAGTATTTTATTGGAGAATGTTGGTTAAAAAGATGAAAAAAATGTATTATAAATAGGGAAGAATGCAGAACTCAGGTAATAACTAAGTTTCAATTCAAATTTAAGAGAGAAGTTTTAAAATGTGTGTGTGTGTGTGTGTATATATATACACACACACATTTTTTTTCCTCTCTCAATCATCAACATCTACCCATCACCATCCCTTTTACAATCACCGACATTCACCCAATTCGAGATCCATGAGTACAGCTATTAGTTTGGATTTTTAATTTAGCAAAACATTGATGAGAATTTTAAGATAGAATCTATGTAAATTCCAAATAATTTCATCGGAGCAAAGATAGAATTTATAGAGAATCTATAGAGAACAATTTCCTAAAATATTGAACAAAAATATAATCTATGAAGAACTTGTCGGAGAAAATAACTTCGATTCTCATTGTCAGAATCTAGTTAATTAAAACTTGATGGACGATTGAGGTAACAAATTATAAGTTTTCAACAATGTGTATTAGAAGATCGAACAAGAAGATAATCTACAAATTACTCCCCGGAGCAAATAACTTCAATTCTCATCATCGAAATCTAGTTAATTGAATTTGTGACCAGTTCAGGGAATGGAGGCAAGAGAAATTAATGGCATGTAACTAGTTCTCTTAAATTTGTGATCTGTGACCTATGTACTTTAACATGTAACTTGTAACTTATTACATGTGAAATTGATCCAATGACTTGTGATCAGATTTTTTGGATCTATAACTTGTGAACATTGATCTTACCTATGCAATATAACATGTGAGCTTGAATTTGCGACTTGTGATCTATATACTTTAACATCCAACTTGTAACTTATTACACGTGAAATTGATCCAATGACTTGTGATCAGATTTTTTGGATCTATAAGTGGTGAACATTGATCTCACCTATGCAATATAACACGTGGACTTGAATCTATGACCTAATATCAAGGCACAAAGAAATGTGACATGATCCGTGACCAGTTAATTTTTATTTGTGATATGCAAATATGGTATGTGAACAATTTATTTGATTTACGACTTGTGGATATTTATCTGTAACCTATGCACAATGACCTATTATCTATCACCACCATTTGTGGATTTTAACATGTAACCTGCAAACATGATTTGTGACAAGTTCTGTTTGACTTGTGGAATATGTGATTCGTAATCTATCAACGCCACCTATTGATTAGGACTTATGATCTGCAAACATAGGAGCTTGCTGTGCTGCCAGAATCTGCACAAAATAGACTCGACAGGGAGTGGATGGAGGATTTTTTTGACATTTTTTTATCACAACATAAGTCTCACACGTGAGATTTCTTGCAGAGATTTGTGAAACAATTTTCTGTACAAAACGTTTTTGGTAAACATTTTTGTGGCAAGTTCTATTTGATCTGTAACTTATTGGGGATCTCTAGAAAGCCAATTTTATGAAATTTATGAAAGATAGGTGTTACAGCCTCATTCGAAAAAAGGTAACTGCGAGAAAGAGCGTTTCGGAGCGACTAGTAGATCTGCTCAAGGAGTTGCTTATTTTTCGCTTTTTCTATTCCATTCCAAAAATGGAAAATTTTTCGCTTTTTCTATTCCATTCCAAAAATGGAAAGTTCGACACAATTGAGATTTTTTTTGGAAATTGGATGCAATCTGTGACCTATACACAATAACGCGTGACTGATATACATGACCTATCACCTATCACCACCACCTGTGAATTGTTGACCTACAAATATGATGATCAATTTTGTTTGATCTATGACATATACACAATGACATGCGATTTGGTATGGATCACCAGCACCGACACCAATCACATAAATAATTGGTTACAAATCCTCTTTATAAAGAATTAATTTAGTGATACATAATGAGTTATACTTAAGGGTGTATACCTCCTCACATGAGGTGTAGAGTCCACCCGAATAAGTAGATACATTTCTATGTACCACTAGCACCACATCTTTATAAAATCCCAGTCCAATCCAACACAACCCAGCAATACCGCCAACACTACCAGAACCCCTACAACCTCATCACCACCTATATCACCGATTAAAAGAAGGATCCAAGGGGGCCAATGAGTCGGCTCAACAACAGTACCGCTTGATGTCATTTTGAAACGATGATTCACTGTTCAGATGTGAACTTATCAGTTGAATTCTCATCGGAAAAGGCATTTTCTAAAATGCTATGCTTTTACTATCAATTGAATTTTCAGAGATCTTAAACACTACTACTGTACTAACTTTGCTTACAAACAATCAAAATCAAAACTATCCAAAAAATGGAGAAATACCCTAAAAATAATAAAAATAAAAATAAAAAAGCTTTCCAAGGCACAAATTTTCAATGTTAACACCGAAACCCTATTCATAGAATTTCCCAAAATCAAAGCTTCATTTCCCAAACAATCACAAGAAAATCCCCCAAATATTTCACACTAACTACGAATAAAAATAATATTTTCCGTTAGAAACATAAGGATGATGATTAGGGAAATAGCATCGCATTTGTGAGGTAAGGCACCAAATTTTTCATTCTTAGCGCTGAGACATATAGATAAGGAAGAGTTGAGAGGGTAGAGAGAGAAAAAGAGTGAAAAAGAGAGAGCTGGGAATGAAAGAGGGAGTTATTTGGGCAGTGGGTTAATATCCGTTTGGGAGGGATTTTGAGAATTGATTTTTTGACCGTTAGAATAAAAGTGAGGTTCATTTGTGAGAGAAAAAGTCAAAAATTACAGTTAAAATAATAAAATAACGGTCAAAAAATTAATTTTTTGAAGTAAAAAATTCCTCCCAAACAGACCATAAATGTGTGGTGAATAACTTAATATTAAATCATTGAATTATCACCTGATTTATGATAAAGTAAACCTTATACCTTATCTCTGAATTGTTATCTTTAAAAATAAGCTGGTGTGTAATTTCCACTTATAAATATGATGGGGTTTAAATAGGGGTTCAATTTCGACCGTCCATCCATGGCCCATCTGACCCCAGACAAGGAGCTTTTCCCATGACTCTAAAATGTAAAATCAAGTGTAGTGTGATGTGAAGTCCGGTTTGTTCCCAACTAAATTCAATTACATTACATTTTATTTTTCTCTTTCTTATTTTCAATCACACAATTTTCTATAAAATAATATTACACGTAAATCGAAATTTTTTTCTTCTTTTTCAACCAGTCATTTTTCTAAAAAATACTATTCCCCCCATTTTTATTTTCAGATAATGGGGGTCAAACGGGAGCTTAAATTCCTTTACAGCTACTGGATTAATGAGACTCGCTACACACGTGACAAGGGAGAAAAGTACAGTTCATCCCTCTAACTTTTAGTTTTTCCAAACTTGTCACGTAATTTCAATTTTTTCGTATCAAAATCTAGTCATGACATCAAAATTCATTTTCAATCTAAGGAGTCATTGGATCTTGTTAACTATATTATTTAACATCTTCAGAATAAAACATTCATTCATTTCTTTTCTCTCTATCCAACGTAATGACTTGAACAACACAAATGTGAAATTTTCTTTTAAAACCGAAAAGCATTGTTGGAACTGGGTTGGAACGACAAGTAGCTCAAGATTCAGGGGCTCTTGCTATAGCCGAACGTAGTTCAAGTTGAGGAGAGTATAAAATACACGAAAATCTTGGACAAATAAGAATCCCCTTTGTTACATGGTCTTTTTTTCATATAGATAGATAAATCCCCTATTTCATTTATTGGAAAAAGGAATGATCCATCGGATTCAGGATTGTTCTCTGATAATGAATACAAAGATTCTATTGCATGTATTTTGGCTAATACATTGTTTACATAGTATTTTTCTGTCCGAAGAAATGATTCATCGAAATTAGTTCATAAAAATGCGAAATCAAAGTAGGCAACAAAGTAGCTGGAAGTTGATTCTGAGTAGCTTTATCAACCAGGAGATTGGATCTAGCCGTAAGAAGAATGCTTGGTATA